GATGCTCTAATTTAATAGATGTGTATAAGAGACAGCGTATACAATGTCCAGGTGGCCGAGATGCTCTAATTTAATAGATGTGTATAAGAGACAGCGTATACAATGTCCAGGTGGCCGAGATGCTCTAATTTAATAGATGTGTATAAGAGACAGCGTATACAATGTCCAGGTGGCCGAGATGCTCTAATTTAATAGATGTGTATAAGAGACAGCGTATACAATGTCCAGGTGGCCGAGATGCTCTAATTTAATAGATGTGTATAAGAGACAGCGTATACAATGTCCAGGTGGCCGAGATGCTCTAATTTAATAGATGTGTATAAGAGACAGCGTATACAATGTCCAGGTGGCCGAGATGCTCTAATTTAATAGATGTGTATAAGAGACAGCGTATACAATGTCCAGGTGGCCGAGATGCTCTAATTTAATAGATGTGTATAAGAGACAGCGTATACAATGTCCAGGTGGCCGAGATGCTCTAATTTAATAGATGTGTATAAGAGACAGCGTATACAATGTCCAGGTGGCCGAGATGCTCTAATTTAATAGATGTGTATAAGAGACAGCGTATACAATGTCCAGGTGGCCGAGATGCTCTAATTTAATAGATGTGTATAAGAGACAGCGTATACAATGTCCAGGTGGCCGAGATGCTCTAATTTAATAGATGTGTATAAGAGACAGCGTATACAATGTCCAGGTGGCCGAGATGCTCTAATTTAATAGATGTGTATAAGAGACAGCGTATACAATGTCCAGGTGGCCGAGATGCTCTAATTTAATAGATGTGTATAAGAGACAGCGTATACAATGTCCAGGTGGCCGAGATGCTCTAATTTAATAGATGTGTATAAGAGACAGCGTATACAATGTCCAGGTGGCCGAGATGCTCTAATTTAATAGATGTGTATAAGAGACAGCGTATACAATGTCCAGGTGGCCGAGATGCTCTAATTTAATAGATGTGTATAAGAGACAGCGTATACAATGTCCAGGTGGCCGAGATGCTCTAATTTAATAGATGTGTATAAGAGACAGCGTATACAATGTCCAGGTGGCCGAGATGCTCTAATTTAATAGATGTGTATAAGAGACAGCGTATACAATGTCCAGGTGGCCGAGATGCTCTAATTTAATAGATGTGTATAAGAGACAGCGTATACAATGTCCAGGTGGCCGAGATGCTCTAATTTAATAGATGTGTATAAGAGACAGCGTATACAATGTCCAGGTGGCCGAGATGCTCTAATTTAATAGATGTGTATAAGAGACAGCGTATACAATGTCCAGGTGGCCGAGATGCTCTAATTTAATAGATGTGTATAAGAGACAGCGTATACAATGTCCAGGTGGCCGAGATGCTCTAATTTAATAGATGTGTATAAGAGACAGCGTATACAATGTCCAGGTGGCCGAGATGCTCTAATTTAATAGATGTGTATAAGAGACAGCGTATACAATGTCCAGGTGGCCGAGATGCTCTAATTTAATAGATGTGTATAAGAGACAGCGTATACAATGTCCAGGTGGCCGAGATGCTCTAATTTAATAGATGTGTATAAGAGACAGCGTATACAATGTCCAGGTGGCCGAGATGCTCTAATTTAATAGATGTGTATAAGAGACAGCGTATACAATGTCCAGGTGGCCGAGATGCTCTAATTTAATAGATGTGTATAAGAGACAGCGTATACAATGTCCAGGTGGCCGAGATGCTCTAATTTAATAGATGTGTATAAGAGACAGCGTATACAATGTCCAGGTGGCCGAGATGCTCTAATTTAATAGATGTGTATAAGAGACAGCGTATACAATGTCCAGGTGGCCGAGATGCTCTAATTTAATAGATGTGTATAAGAGACAGCGTATACAATGTCCAGGTGGCCGAGATGCTCTAATTTAATAGATGTGTATAAGAGACAGCGTATACAATGTCCAGGTGGCCGAGATGCTCTAATTTAATAGATGTGTATAAGAGACAGCGTATACAATGTCCAGGTGGCCGAGATGCTCTAATTTAATAGATGTGTATAAGAGACAGATTTTATACAGTATGAATGAACGAACTCAATACAGTAGAATTTAATTTTATGCGGTATAAATGAATTCAATACAGTAGAAATTAATTTCATTATTAGTTACATTATACATGGTATAAATGAATGAATGAATAAATGAATTATATACAGTAGAAATTAATTTTTCACAATGCGAATAAATGAATGAATTGTGTACAGCACAAATTAATTTTGCAAAGTCTGAATGAATGAATGATTTTTATATAGTATAAATTAATTTTGCACAGTACGAATGACTGAATTCTATATGATACAAATTAATTTTATACAGTATAAATAGTTTTTATACGGTATAAATAAATTTTATACAGCGTGAATGAATCGTACAAGTTTTAATTAGTTCGATAAAGAAGTGTAAAGAGATACGAAGACTCTGCTGATTAAATTAGAGCATCTCGGCCACCTGGACATTGTATACGTATGTTCTCGGTGGGATGGGAATTCGAAGGTATGAACGAGGGTTGCCGAGTGGACCCTCCAATTTTGATGAAGCGGTCGATTCAACGAGGCTTAAAGTGCTCTTCACGGTTAATTACTGCAACCTGATTTTGTTTATTGTTTATCTGTTTTCTAAGAGAACCAACCAACTTCGACGATCAACCATCCCCCCCCCCCCAAGAATTCGGGACTATTCTTTGCTCTTTTAAGAATTAAAACTTAATCAGAAATAAGGGATGATCCTCAAATCGAAAATTCAAAAAATTCTGTAATTGTGCGGATGTGTAGAGTATACGTAAATATGTATTACGCAATTTTTTCTTTTTGCGTAGATTCACTTGAAGGAGTGGAATTTAATCCCCAAATATTCGGCTATTATTTATTACTATAATTCGCAAACTGTTCGAGGTAGAAAAAAAATCTTCATACAAATGTTACCTCTTTCGTCTAAATCTGTCATATGACATGAGATTTGTTTCAATTGAGAGATTGTTTAAACAATTGGAAAAAGTTATAAATAAATAATCGACGTTTTTCGTTTATCACATGATAGATTTCAACGAAAGAAGTAACATTTGTTCGAAGCCTTTTTTTCTATTTTGTACAGTTTGCGAATTATAGTAATAAATAACGGCCCAACATTTGGGGGTTAATTCCCATCCCTTCAAGTGAATCTGCGCAAGAAGAAAAAATTGCTTAATCTATATCAACATATGCTCTACATATCCCCAAAGTTTCAGATTTTTTTTAATTTCCCGGTTGGGTATCATCCCTTGCAAGTCATGGCTTGTAGATGTCCCTATGGAACTGATGAATTAAGGGATCATGGATGTGACTGATAGATTTAGGGATCCACTCCAAAGGGAAGCTATGACAGTCTCCATGGCTCAGTTGCTGCTCTCTAAACCATAAACATCGACGACTAAGTCATGCCTTGCAGACGATTCTTTGTAACTCATGGGCAGACCTCATGAATCCAGAGGCTCGTCGAGGAAGACTCGCAGACCCGCGGCAGAGCTCCGACAGCCCCTGAAGTTGATGAAGCTCGACGCAGGTACCGAATAAGCCGATGAATAGCGGAGGCTACCTTGGCTAATGAATGCTCCCTTGAAGAGAGGACTAACTACAAGTGTTGCCACCTGTACGTACTTTTCTGCAGATCTACGTACTTTTCTGCGGATCTATAGACTTTTCCGCAGATCTACGGAGTTCTAACCTAGTCTACCGACCTCAAAACAAAGTCTGCAGACTTCAGGTGGGTCGTGTGGAAATAGTGACATCTAGTGGCGATCGCATCAAATGGACGCGTCGCTAGCTACGGTGCCAATGATAATTTTTGTTTCTGCTCCTTGAGCGAAGAGAAACTTTAACATCCATGCAAACTGTTCAGAGTAGTTTCAGCTTTAATTTACGTATGTATATTTACGATTTTAGACCGATTTTTCGAAGCGGAATTCTACGAACTTTCGAGCCTGTCGCCACGGATTTATAAAAATTCAAGATGGCAACACTGCTGACTACCGAAGAGGTTAGAACCATTCCATATCAAGCGGATCACTCTTGTACCCCAATATCAAGGATATTGATGACGTCGAAATACGTTGTAGGCCCATATGAAATTAGGGGACATCATTTTCCTAATTTCGAATCTTTTAAAGAGTCACAAGCCCTCGAAGTTCCCAGTTTCCGACGATTTTAACGCAAACTCCCTCCACGTTTGAATTTATATCTCTGGAACTATGAAACATACGAAGTTACGATTTTTTTCTGGTAATCTCGAAGGATGTACGCATCGGAAAAAATTTTGTTCCTACTCGAAAAACTATCTTTTCAACGTACAAAAAATAAATATATTTCTGTTTCACTAAATTGATCCGCGATCATGTGTTTACAAGTTTGAATGAAACACGTCTGTCTGCTGCGATCTCTCCCCGGTCCGTTCCAATTTTTTTCAGACACGTACGTCCTTCGAAATTACCAGAAAAATATCGCAACTCCGTGTCCTTCGTAGTCTCGGAGATAGAAAATGAAACGTGAAGGCAGTTCTCGTAAAGATCAGCGAAAAGTGGAAACTTCGAGAGCTGGTAACTCTTGGACAATTTCGAGGTTAGAAAAACGATGACTGTGGACAATTGCATATCGATTAGAATCATATTTCCCATTAGTAGAGAAATTCTGGTGGCCACACCGGGGCTGCGATGACTCCGATGTCGACATAACACCTGTGCACGCAGGCCACGGGCGATTGAACTTTCCCGGAGGAGCATAAATCTAGTCTAGACCGAATGCCGCGAACTTTAGTCTTTAAAGGTCGCGGAACTGGCTGAGAGGCGCTGATAGTAACCCTGTTTGAGCGATGCTCGGTTGTTCTCTTGTTAGCCGATAAAAAGGATCGAGGACGACGCGCCGTCGACCTGGCAACCGGGCAAGAAAATTCGAAGAAGTTGGTAATCCGCGGGGCAGCGATGGCTTCCGCGGCGCTCGCCGTGTATAAATCGTCGCGGAGTTCGCCGGTAACGCGGCTGAAATCGATCGGTCGCGTATCGGCGTCCATCTTGCCGGGCTGACGCGAAACTTTCCAACTTCTGCCGAGATGTTTTATCGTTCCACCACCGGCGCGGCGTGCGGCGCTCCTGAAAACGCTTCATATAAATTAAAGCCTAGCTACGTCGACCGACTCGACGAGAAAGTACTCGGGAACAATTGGATCGCGGCGATTCCGAAGTGGACCTCACAGCAAGACGAAAATGTATTCCGTGGCGAGAGATCGGATTGCTGCGGACGCTGCATCGATTCACGACCGTCGGACGGGTCGGATGGAGGCTACTGAGCGAAAGTATTAATTTTATTAGCAGTATCGATTTTACTGATTTGATTAATTTTAGTAATTGTACCGATTTTATTGATAACATCCGTCTTATTAGTAACGACAATGTTATTAATAATATCAATTTTACTCATTTCATCAGCAATATCAACAATATCAATGTTATCGATAATATACGTTTTATGAGAATCATCAATTTAATCGGAAATATCAATTTTATCAATAATATCAATTTTATTAATTTTATTACAACAATTTCGTCAGTAGTAATCTCTCTCAGTTTTATTAGTAATATAAATTTTATTGACTATATCAATTTGAATAATAATGACAATTGTATCAACAATATTAATTTTATCAGTAATATTAATAACATGAACTCTATCAGTAAT